GGTTTATTGAGATATAATTCATATACCATGTGTGTCACCTATTTAAAATGTACAATTCAGGGGCGCCTGGGGGGGCTCAGTCGTTAAGCGTCTGCCTTCGGCTTAGGTCATGATCTCAGGGTCCTGGGATCGAGCCCCGCATCGGGCTCCCTGCGGAGCAGGGAGCCTGCTTCTCCCTCCCCCTCTGCCCCTGCTTGTGTTCCCTCTCTCACTGTGCCTCTGTCAAATAAATAAAATAAAATCTTTAAAAAATAAATAAATAGGGGCGCCTGGGTGGCTCAGTTGGTTAAGCAACTGCCTTCGGCTCAGGTCATAATCCTGGAGTCCCGGGATCGAGTCCCGCATCGGGCTCCCTGCTCAGCGGGGAGTCTGCTTCTCCCTCTGACCCTCTTCCCTCTCGTGCGCTCTCTCATTATCTCTCTCTCAAATAAATAAATAAAATCTTAAAAATAAATAAATAAATAAATAAAATGTACAATTCAATGGCTTTAGTAGAGTTGTGCAAACATCACTGCAGTCAGGCAATTTTAGAACATTTTCATCACTCCCAAAAGAAACCTTGTACTCTTTAGCAATCCCATACACCTACCACACCCCAGCCAATGGATGGTCTACTTCCTGTCTCTATTTGCTTATTCTGGACATTTCTTATAAATGGAATCATACAATATGTGGTCTTTTGTGACTGGCTTCTTTCACTTAGCATGTTTTCAAGGTTATCTCTGTTGTAGTATGTATTAGTACTTCATTTCTGAAGAATATTGTTATGTGGACATCGCTTTTTATTTTTTTAAGATTTTATTTATTTATTTGACAGAGAGAGAGAGGGAGATATCACAAGTAACCAGACAGGCAGGGAGAGGGAGAAGCAGGCTCCCCGCTGAGCAGGGAGCCCGATGCGGGGCTCGATCCCAGGACCCTGAGATCATGACCTGAGCCGAAGGCAGACGCTTAACTGACTGAACCACCCAGGAGTCCCTGGACATCGCTTTTTAAGAAATAGCTCCTTTTAGGGGCATCTGGGTGGCTCAGTCAGTTGGGTGTCCGACTCTTGGTTTTGGTCAGGGTTGTAAGATCAAGCCCTACATCGGGCTCCACACTCAGTGCAGAGTCTGCTTGAGATTCTCTCTCTCCCTCTGCCCCCTCCCGTTCACGCTCACTCTCTCTAAAATAAATAAATCTTTTTTATTTTTTAAGATTTTATTTATTTGTTTGACAGAGAGAGACCCAGCGAGAGAGGGAACACAGCAGGGGGAGTGGGAGAGGGAGAAGCAGGCCTCCTGCTGAGCAGGGAGGCTGATATGGGACTCGATCCCAGGACCCCGGGATCATGACCTGAGCCGAAGGCAGATGCTTAACGACTGAGCCACCCAGGTGCCCCCATTTTAGCCATTTTTACAAAAGACTTTAAGTCATCCCTATACCGAATGTGGGGCTTGAACTTACAACCCGCAAGGCCATGAGTTGCACATCCCACGGACTGAGCCAGCCGGATGCCCCCATTTTAAGCGTCTTTAAGGGTGGTGTTGGGTGGCATTATGTACACTCACACTGCTCTGCAGCCACGACCGCCATCCGTTTCCAGAACTGCTCCATCGTTCCAAACTGAGACTCAGCACCCTCTACACACTTACTCCCCATGGAACCCCTATTCTATTTTCTGTCTCCATGAATGTGACCACTCTACGTACCTCATACAAGTGAAATCCTTATAACATTTGTCTTTTTGTGACTGGCTTATTTTATTCAGCATAATGTCTTCAAAGTTCATCCACGTTTGGGTGCATATTTCAGATAATTTCCCTCCCCCCCCCCTTTTTTTGAGAGAGAGGGAGCAGGAGAGAGTGGCGGGGGGAGGGGGAGGGGGAGGGAGAGAGAGAATCTCAAGTAGGCTCCACGCTCAGCACGAAGCCTGACACAGGGCTCAATCTCACAACATAGATCACAATCTGAGCTGAAACCAAGAGTCAGACGCTTAACCAACTGAGCCACCCAGGTGCCCCTCTTATATGTCATTTTAAATTGGAATACACAATTTAAGGGCCTGGGATGGATGTGTTATTGTCGTAGCACAGAGGGAGAAACTGAGGCAGGGAGAGGGGGCCAGGTTCCTGATTCTCTCACGTGGTCGATGTTGTCTTTGAACAAGTTTCCAGGTTGTTGGGAGAATCGAGTAAGCCAATGACTTAAACTCTCTCTCATAAATATGAAGAGAACAGTTTCATGCCTTGTTTGCATTCCCACAGTTAATATGCGGTCGATATGGGGCTGGGAGACAGCTTCAGGCTTCAGAGTGTGAGAAGTCTCACATTTAAGGTTTTTGTTTAAAATGCATTTTATCAACTATCTATTAGAAAACCTGAAAGACTCTACCCCAAAATGCTGCAACTGATAAATTTGGCAAAGTCACAGGATAAAAAATCAATGTGCAGAAATCTGTTGTATTTCTGGACACTAACAAAGCAGCAGCATAAAGAGAAAGAAAACAATCCCATTTACAAACGCACCAAAAATAATAAAACACCTAGGAATAAACCTAACCAAAGAGGTGAAAGACCCGTGCTCTGAAAACTACAGAACACTGATGAAAGAAATTGAAGATGACACAAAGCAATGGAAAGACATTCCATGCTCATGGATTGGAAGAATATTGTTAAAATCTCTCTAGTACCCAAAGCAATCCACACATTAATGCAATCCCTATCAGAATACCAGAGTATTTTTCACAGAACTAGAAGAAACAATCCTAAAATTTGTTTGGAACCACAAAGACCCCGAAGAGTGAAAGCAATCTTGGAAAAGCAGAGCTGGAGGCGTCACGATTCCGGACTTCATGTAATATTACAGAGCTGTGATCATCAAGACAGTGTGGTGCTGGCACAGAAACAGACACACGGATCGATGGAACAGAACAGAAAACCCAGAGATGAACCCACAACTCTCTGGTCAACTAATCCTCGACAAAGCAGAAAAGAACATCCAATGGGGAAAAGATAGTCTCTTCAGTAAATGGTGTTGGGAAAACTGGGCAGCAACATGCAGAAGAATGAGTCTGGACCACTTTCTTACACCAGACACAAAAATAGACTCAAAATGGATTCAAGACCTAAATGTGAGACCTGAAACCATAAAACTCCTAGAAGAGAACACAGGGAGGAATGTCTCTGACGTGGACCATAGCAACTCCTTTCTAGATATGTCTCCTGAGGCAAGGGAAATAAAAGCAAAATAAACTAGGGCGCCTGGGTGACCGGCTGCCTTCAGCTTGGATCATGATCTCTGGATCCTGGGATCGAGCCCCACGTCCGGCTCCCTGCTCGGTGGAGAGCCTGCTTCTCCCTCACTCTCTGCCTGCCGCTCTGCCTATTTGTGCTTTCTCTCTCTGTGTCAAATAAATAAGTAAAATCTTTATTAAAAAAAAGCAAAATAAACTATTGGGACTTCATCAAACTAAAAAGCTTCTGCACAGCAAAGGAAACAACCAACAAAACTAAAAGACAACCTACTAAATGGGAGAAGATATTTGCACATAATATATCTGATAAAGGGCTAGTAACCAAAATATATAAAGAACTCACACAACTCAGCACCCCAAACCCAAATAATCATATTAAAATGGGCAGAAGACATTAACAGACATTTCTCCAAAGAAGACATACAGATGGTCAACAGACACATGAAAACATGTTCAACATCATTCACCGTCAGGGAAATGCAAATCAAAACCATAATGAGATATCACCCTACACCTGTCAGAATGGCTAAAATCAACAACAGGTGTTGGAGCGAATGTGGAGAAAGGGGAACCCTCGTGCACGGTCGGTGGGAATGCAAGCTGGTGCAGCCACTCTGGAAAATGGTATGGAGGTTCCTCAAAAAGTTAAAATAGAGGGAAAAAAAAGTTAAACTAGAACTAGCCTGCAATCCAGTAATTGCACTCCTGGGTATTTACCCAAAGAAGACAAGAACACTAATTCAAAGGGACACATGCACCCTAATATTTACAGCAGCATCTACAATGGCCAAGATATGGAAGCGGCCCACATAATATATCCATTCCCATGTGTGATATATATACACAATGGGTTATTATTCAGCCATAAAAAAGAGTGCAATCTTGCCATTTGCAACAACATAGATGGACCTAGAGCGTATTATGCTAAGTGAAATAGGTCAGTCAAAGACAAATACCATATGATTTCACTCATATGTGGACTTTAAGAAACAAAACAAACAAAGGAAAAAAGAAAAAAAGACAAACCAAGAAACAGATTCTTAACTCTAGAGAACACACTGATGGTCACCACAGGGGAGGCTGGTGGGAGGATGGGAGAAACAGGTGATGGAGATGCAGGAGGGCACCAGTGCCGATGAGCACTGGGTGACTAGGGAAGCGCTGAATCACTCCATTGTACACCTGAAACCAATATTACACGGCGCTAACTATACTGGAATTTTTTTTAAAAAATAGTAAAGTTTAAAAAAACAACAAAAAATAAAATGCAGATTATCCGAAGAAGAGCCTAAAATTACTTCAACAGC